TCTTTTTGCTGAGGAAGACCGGCCCTGAGCTAACATCTATTGCCAATCTTCCTCCTTTTTTTCCCTTTTTCTCCCTAAAGCCCCAGTAGATAGTTGTATGTCATAGTTGCACATCCTTCTAGTTGCTATATGTGGGACGCCACCTCAGCATGGCTGGACAAGCAGTGCGTCGGTGCACGCCTGGGACCCGAACCTGGGCCGCCAGTAGCGGAGCGTGCACACTTAACCGCTAAGCCCCGGGGCTGGCTCCAGCAATAGCTTTTACCTCATGTGCATATTAACCCAGCACCCCAGACTGCTAGGCCAGCCTGAACAATAGGCTTATAGGGCCTATGCCCCATGGTTTTTCCTTTTTATGACAAATGACATAAAAGACAGAGACAAGGAAAAACAGTGACCATATCTAAGAGGAGAACAGTCAATAAAAACCAGAGTTCTCAAACTAAATTTCCTTCCATCAGTGAATCCAAGAAACTAGCTTCACAAGTATTTTCTCCTGCTAATCGCAATTTAGAAAAGGAAAAAACTCACCACTCTTGCTTCCACTGGACCCTGCAGGCAGAGATCTGGGAGACTGATGTGGTAAGAACTCTTACCTCCTGCTGGCTCTTGTCAGAGGTCCAAGTTCTCTTGGCTGCAGTAGTCCTGGAGTGAGCAGCATCCAGGCAGTTAAGTTTTCTCTTGTCTTCATCACCAACTGTAGAGGAGGAAGAAATATTCCTCTACCCTTATAGGTTTTTTTGGCTGGTCTAGGAATTAAATTGACATGAGACAGAATAACAGAAGAAAATCAAACATTTAATAACATGTGTACATGGGAGAAATCCAGGAAAATCCAGTAACTCACCAAAATAGCCAAAGCCACCACCTTAAATACCATCTTCAGCTAAAGACAAAGGAGAATGTTGGGCGTAGTCGTTTGGCACTTCAAAGGGGAGGAAGGCAATTCACATAGCGATGGAAAAGCAAATGTTTGGTAAACAAATGTTTGCCATACCTTGCGAAGATATTGTGACCTGGGGAAGACTTTGATCAAATGGACCTTGCTAGGTTCCTGTCCACCACACCTAGTTCGTATTATACTGTAGTCTTCTATGCTGATAGCTCCTTCCTGAAATAGGCCTTCTATCTTAAATTCTTTTAGGCAGTTATGAGGGAGGTCAAAGTTTCTTTCTGAGTGTTTTGTCCCTAAAAATAATCAAGCCAAAGAGACACATTTTGTTGTGGCAAAGTCTAACCCCCTCATACTATTTAGAATCTTTCCAAGGGTCACCCTCCCCCGATATTGCCCAGAAATCTCTTTTCTCGGGTTAGTTCTGTTTGTTCTCATTGACTCTTCACTTACCTGTATTGATTTTCCTTATATATCTGGTGAACTTTGTTGGCTCATTTTATAATGTGAATGAAGGAATATGTTGATTGTGTAGCTATGCTCTATGTGACAGACAGGCTTCTCTGGAGGGTGTGTGGGAATGGAAAGGCCAGGCAGGTGGCTGAGGACCCTAACATTTCCAAAGACCCAGTGTGTTTCTCTCCCAGATGGAACTTCCTTTCCCTTCTTTTTATTCCCCTTCAGTTATCTGATGTGGAAATGTGAGTAACAGCAAGCTCTCCTCTGCTTCTCTGTCAAGATTCAAAACTTATATAAGGATCTCCCCCTAGGCAGATGGCACATTTTCTTTAGAGAGAAGTTTTTTTGAAGTTTGGTTCATTCCTGGAGAACGACAATACTGTCAGCAGTGTGTCTCTGTGTGCAATGAGAAAGAGACAGTGATGAAGAAGGGTCCCAGTGATCCAGCTGTTCCAAATGCAGCTCTTTAATTTATAACTATGACAATTGCACCATCATCTGATTCTCTTTGGATATGCTGACCTCAAATTTATTGTTTCTCAGGCCCACCTGATTTGTGTTGTTTAAGGCTCTGGTTTTCTTGATGGGAGTTTTCCATTAAGTCAATCTCATCTGCTTTCATATTTTCTGAATTTTCTCAACTTTCTGATCCTGGTGTCTTACCTTACTGATTTCCAGTATTGCTATGGGATTTTTCTTTTGGAAATATTATTTTCTGTTAATTTAGTGTAACCTTGGGAGGTAGGAGAGAGTAAACCCACACGTTCAGTCCACCACCTTGAAGCTCCTGTACTGGTTTGTTTTATTGTACTTTTCTGGCTTCCTAGAGCATTTCCCCTAATATCACTGTACTGGGGTTTTTTATTCACAAAAGTATTATGTGTTAATCTCATCAATAATACAGAGTTAAACAGAGTTGAAGTTAACAGTGTCCTTTTTCCTCGCCTCCACACTTACTCCCTTGAGAAAATAGTGTTAACATTTTGTATCCATTCACACATTTTTCCATGCTTAGATTAGGGGGAAGTTTTTGTTTGTTTTGTGTTTTTTCATATATTTTCTATTATTTGTTCTTTCACTTCTTTGTCATACATATTTTGTTTCTTTTTAATTTTTTTGTGTGTGTGTGTGAGGAGATCAGCCCTGAGCTAACATCTGCCAATCCTTCTCTTTTTTGCTGAGGAAGACTGGCCCTGGGCTGACACCTGTGCCCATCTTCCTCCACTTTATATGGGACGCCGCCACAGCATGGCTTGCCAGCAGTGTGTCAGTGCGCGCCCGGGATCCACACCAGCGAACCGCCGGCCGCGGCGGGGCGCGCGCTTAACTGCTTGTGCTACCGGGCCGGCCCCTCTTTCTAATTTTTATTTTCTACTAAATTCATCTAAAGCAATGAATGTTCAAATGTTAGAATTTAAACTATTTTTAAGGGAGATTTTGGGAAATTCAAGCAAAGGAAAACAAAATGAGCAGAAGAACAGGTGTGGAAAAGTACGAGATGTATTTCAAGAATTCACTCAGACATATGTGCCTGGAGGAAAGAAACTGTGGTGGGAATATTGAGAAACTTGCAGAAATAATTTAGAGTCAGTGTGTGAGGACGATGAACAACAGCAAAAGTGGGAAGCCACTGAAGATTTAAGAATAAGGTCATGTTGTTAATGGCTTAATATTAATGAACATTTAAAATAAACCAAAAGTATTTCTTATGAAAACATCACTCATGGAATTGTTATTTTAACTAAGTTGGTATTAATGACCCTCTACAAACTAAAGCAGATAATGTGTGGGAAGGTGGTTTCTAGTACTGTGTCCTACAAAGAGGTGGTGTCAGGTTTCACCTGGATGAGTTGGCAGTGCGCTTGCACATTCGGTTGCTCCCAAAGCACCTTTCTCCTTCACGGCAGTCTTGCTTGTGGTGGAAGGAGCATCAGATGAAAATTAGGACACCTAGGATTTAGGCTGCTAATCATCTGGGTAACTTGGAGCAACAAACTTCAGCTTCAGATTCTTGTGTAAAACAAGGAGTAGGACCGGATTATCTCTAAGGTGCCTTCCATTTCTAGCAATTCGAAGGTTCTGTGATTCTATAATTGTTCCTATACACCTTGATTTATCACCAAGGGTTTCCTTAGGCAGTGTTAAGTACCCATTTAACAATTGCAGGTTGAGAATCATTGAAAATGCTATCTATGCCATTTATTATCTAAAGCACTTCACGGCCTTTTAAAATTAGATTGCATTTCTTCTGATGATTTTCTTTCCTACTTTTGTTTCTGCTTGAGGTTGCTGTGTATTGTTTTGATTTTACAAATTCAGTAGGGTGAATATTACAGTATCAAGGAAGCTAAGATTATATATGTATGTGTACATATATATATACAGATTTCCTTGACAGTTGGCAAAGTGTAGTAGCTATGAGAAAAATATTTAGGTTTTAAAATTTTTTATATCTTTAATAGCTATCAAAAGAATAAAACTATCTTGGGAAATATCCTTGCATTGCAAGCAGTCTAAAATTAAAAATTCTCTTTTTATAAGGTGGTTTTTTCACCAAAAGAATACATTTCACCATCTTTCAGACCAGAATATCAAGAATTCAAACCAAAATATTGGGTGAGTCCTGAGTTATCCTATATCAATTATATTTAAATACTAGGTTTCTCTAATACTTTATGTAATTCAATGGTTCCAAAACCAGAGTACCCATTAGAAACATCTGGCTATGTTTAAAAAAAATACATATTCCCAGGTTTCACCTCTGACCTAATGAATCTCAATCTGGAAATGGAGGCTGGGAATCTGTATTTCTCAAAAAATCCTAGGGGATTCTTATGCTGTCACCTGGGTATCAACTAGCATCTGAAAAACCGTTATAATAAATTGTATCCATTAAAATGATGTTTGAACTACTAAATTGAAACAAATTAAAACGAATACTAGGTTGATCATTCCACATTTTGCTTTTTTCAATTGGATAATGTAGAAGTTGTATGAACAAAGAGTTTGAGTAAGAAACTTCATTTTGAAGGCTGTTTTAGTGATAGAATAGCCTGATCCCAGAGCTGCAAAACTGCCTGTGGATATTACACTGAAATTTCACTATAATCCAGAATGTTTTATACTGCTCTCTCTTAACTATTTCTGAGACATATATAGTATTCATCAAAAAGCAAGATTCTACTGTGACATGGTAAGGAGTGAGTGGAACTCAACATCATTGTTGAAACTCTCAGACTTAAAGGCAGATGATATATGCCCCCAAGTCAGTCTTTAGAGAATACTTATGATACTTTTAATGGGATAGCTCTTCCTTGCTTTGTATTTTAAAAAAAATTTCCTACATTGCTGCTAAAATAGTAAATATTTATACGGATAGGACTTAGATCCTGATGTTAGCCATTGCCTAAGCAAATGCAGCTAGCACTGGAAATTGAGTTCTTAAAACAAACTATTTATGAGTGCCTTTAAATATTTAAAAATATCCCAGGTAGCAGAAAGCTCTTGGACGCAAAATAGTATCAGAATTAGGAATTTGAAAATTTTGCATTAAAATTCTCATTATTGTTCCAATTTCAAATATTTTTAAATAATTGAAGTTGTTTTTCTCTTTGTAGAAGGTAGGAGGATGACTAGCTAAATTGACAGATTTCTCAAAGAAAATTAACTAGAAAATTTATTACAAATTCGAAATAAATGCTACAGAATTTCTTAACCTTTTTTTTTTTAATGTTACCGTTCCAGAAATTCAACATCAAGGACGGTTTTGATCCTTTTCTAAGGAATATAAACAACAAATTGTCAGTCAGAAAAAAGAAAGACCGAGATATGTCCAAATGTAGAAACATTTTAAGTGCAGAGGTTATAGAGCATGAAGACCAAGATCCTCCTTACCCGAAACAGTCAAAACCTGCACGACCTCCTAATAAATCCTGGCCCCGTGATCTCGATATCACAATGAAGACTTTAGACACTAAGAATATGTTGGCCCATGACCCTGCTATCACCACAGTCAAGACTTTAGACACTAAGGATAAGTTAGTCTGTGATCCTGACAACATCACAATAAAGACTTTAGATACTAAGAATAAGTTAGCTCATGATCCTGGTATCACCACAATAAAGACTTTAGATACTAAGAATAAGTTAAAGAAAAGACTACCAAGTGTATCTTTACCAAACTTTGAAGGAGAATCATCAGTGACTGGAAATATAAATGTAAATACACGTTTCCTCTCAAAATCATTAAGTTTTACTTCTCACGTAGAAAATTTGAAACAATCAATGGTACTCAAGTCAATTTTAAGTAAAAATCTGCAAGACCTTTCAGATAAATTATTTTCTAGACCAGAATTTCCTATGGACACTGAAACAGGAAAGAAAAATCATAGTTCTTCACTTCTAAGTGTTCATGATGAACCACCAAGTAGTTTGGAAGACAGAGTACTTGAAAAAATTCAAGATTTAAATAGCTGGCTTTCAGAAGGAAACGTTTTAAATTCAAAGTCTCTTTTAAGTCAAATAATTAAAGATATTCCTGCAGAATCACTTTCAGAAGGTGGACCAGGAAATTCTTCAGAGGTAGAAAAGGAACTTGTCTCTGAAAAACATTTAGAGGCTGGTGAGAAAGATTTTCCAATTAAAAAAAAGAGTAGTTTCAAAAAGAAACATTTAAAAAGTGAAGTGTCCAGCTCCAAACCAGATTTAAATGCCACTGCACATGATTATATTATAAAGCAAATATTCACTGCACCGTTCTTCTCCAAGTTGGAGATCGGAGTGAAAGAATCTAGTGAAACACAGATGAACTTGCAGAATCAATTACCCACAGCTTGGGAGAGTTTATCTTCAAATATTCTAGTTCACTGTGAAGAAGATGATGATGAAATGGAATTGCCACAGGCTGAATCTGTTATAAGCCAGATAATACAAGCATTTCCTGTAGATACTCTTTTAGAATCTGGGATAATCAAAGTGGTAGAATTGGGTAAAGAATACCAGAAGAGCTCTTTGCTAGATACAGAGACAGTCTTTGCTGAAGAAAACCCAAAGGATTCCACAGAGGACTATTCAGAAATCAAAAGCAAAACAGAATCTCTTTCAGAGCAGAATATACCCACCATTCCCAAAGAAATTACTTCATTTTTTAATACAGTTGAATTTATAGATGAAGGCCAAAATATATCCCCACAACATTCAATATATCAGTCAACACCAGATAAAAAAACAGATTTGCCAAGTAATGGTCAGAGGCTTGATAGAGAAGAAAATGATCTAAGTTCTACTTTAGAAAATTTAAGTAACTCGTTAACGAGTAAACTTAATGAGTCAGATGTAATAATGTTAAAATCCTTTTTAAAAAACATATTTAATGTTTTTTTCAAATGTAGTCAGTCTGAAAGAAGACAACCAGAAAAAGAATTAGAAAGACTAATTCAACATCCTTTTCCAAATAATGCAGAAGACCTTGAAGAAATGAAAGAGAATTTTGATAAAGCAGACGAATTAGACAGAAAACCTATTTTGAGTCCAAAGCTGCGTGTATTTCTAGAAGAACTCTCAGAGTCAGAAATAAAAAATTTAAAATCTGAATTAAGTAAACATATCCAGCATTACCTTGTAGAAAGACTTTCAGAATCAGGACATATCACCAAAGAGGACTTACCAAAAATCCATCAAAATCTCTGTTTGATGAATGAGAAAGCAGAACCAGAAGGGCAAAATCTTTTTCTGGAGAAATATTCAGAAACTGTAAAAGAAATTGTGTCTTTTGTAAATAATTTTAATCATCATTTCATAGATAAACATTTGGAAATAAAGCTAAGATCTTTTTTAAATGAAATTCTCCAAAACTATTTCCTAAAAAACCTTTCCGAAAGCAGTTTATTTAAAGAGACAGACTCTGAGCCTATACACTCAAACATATGTTCTCGAAGAGCTAAAAGTGCCTCAATATCTTTTCCTGAGTTAGGACAAGATATTTCAACGGGGAGTTTTGGTAGAAGGCTTGAAATAAACATGAAATGTCCTTTAAATCAGTCTCTACAGAACTATCTTATAGCTTTATCAGAAACTGAACTATTAAATCTAAAAGCTGATTTAAGCAAACACCTCCAGAGCCTTTTTATACAAAAACTTTCAAAATCAGGACTAATCACAGAAAGGCAATTAGAGGGGATCAACCAGCATATAAAATGGATTAATTCTGGTTCCACACCATTAAAATGTATAAAGCCAGATTTATCTCTTAGAGATGAAAATCAATTTATGGAGGATCATTCAGAAAAGCAAAATAAACGTTCAAAAATTGTTCAAAAAACTTTACAAAAGGTTTCTGAGGATAGACGTGTAGAAACACAATTGACCAGAAAGGAAGAAAAGGAATATTTTTCCTTACAGAATATTAAAGAAAATCCATCAATAATTAGGGAACAGAAAAGATGTGATCCTAAAGAAGGAGCTAAAACACTGAGCTTAATTAAAGTACAAGCTTCTCCCAACAAAAATACCCAGGAGATTCTGTTAAATAAGTCATCAGAAAGACTTTCAGACACAGTGCTTAAGAAACAAAGGAAAGAACATGGCTTCATGCAGCTTCCTCGAGCAGAAAATTTTGATTTTAAAACAGAGATTCAAGACCCACATAGTTGGAGTGGTAAATCAAAAATACCTCAATCAAATGCTTGCTTTGAAAGGACACTAAAAACGAGGTCCCCTGAAAAAAAGGAGCATAGCAACATGTCTAAATTGGTGACACAGAAAAGATCTGAAGCAGTACTGCCACCGTTTCCAAGAATTCCTAATTGCAAAATGCCAAATGAAGATGAAGAATACGTAAACAAACTCACTTTTCCTTCCAGGCAGAACAACGCTTTAACTCATTTCAATTCTGAGGCTGGGGAAAAATCGAAATTAGACCAGTATTGTCAGAGATTGAAAGGAAATAATAACAATAATAAAAAACAACATCTAGTAACATTTGCACATTACAAAAAAGAAATACAAACTCTTTATATAAAACCAAATGAAATTTGCAGTGAAAAATGTGCCAAGGTCTCTGAATCACAGTCATTTAAATATAAAGTTGTAGAAGCTGAGAAAAACTCAAAACCACCCCTCTTCCCGGAAGTATTAAAGAGAGCAGTTCTAAAGCCCAAGGTCCGGAAAGAAAGAGACCATGTCAGCAAACCAAAGAAGTCATTTGGCAAGATAGTTAGGATCCTGCCAGCCACGCTGCCCGCCCCAAGGCTTCTAAGGAAGTCTGAGCCCAGGACATTGCTGCGCTGGACGGCAAGGAGAACTGTGCATGTAATGATGTCTTTCTAAGTCTTCTACTCGGCATTTGGCAAAGTTCTGTCAATAATCTATTTAGGGTATATGTGTCTGCATGCGGGTGTGTGTGTAACCTTCACTGCCCCACGACATACAGACCTCCAAATTGTAAAAATTCTTCTGACATTCAAATATCACCTCACCTGATTTAAAATGCAATCACAAAATCAGGGGCGGGATAACATACTTAGGGCCTTTGTATAAAACAGATACAGGGCACCCCCTCTGGAGCGTGAATTAGAGAAAGGCACCCTTTCCTCTGGGCAGAATCTGCAGGCTGCACAGCCTGGAGCTGGAGCACGCAGCCGTGTCCGCCAGGGGCTGTGGTGCAGGCACAACCTGCACGCCCATTGCGGTGGCTCTGTGCCATGGAAACATCCCTGCGATTTCTTTTCCTGCAAATAGAATTGTAAATATACAGTCTTTTTTCAGATCACTGAATTATCTTTGTTTCAGTAAACAAACACGAAGCTCCTATTATGTGCCAGTTATCCTGCTAAGCATTAGGGGTGTGCAAAATTTACAATCTACTGGATCATGAATTGCAAAATTTTAATTTAACTCCTACTCTTTTCTTCTTTCATTACCACCCCTCTGCAGTATCATGTGCGGAGAAAGTTGGGAATTCAAATCTATTTTTCCTATTAGCATAAAACAATTAGGAAGGTAAATCTGCTCCTAGACTTTATACAAACTGTTCTAGAGCAAAGTTAACATCTCGGAACGGAAGGGACTGATTTTAATTTCCTGCTCTTCTCTGTTAGTATATATAAACCGGCATGACCCACAAATGGGAAAACTTATAAATTCTAAAACGATTTTATATTGATGATTTGATGTGCGTAATTCTACTTTTGAATGAGAAAATAGACACAATTTCAGAATAGTTGCTTTGATTTGTTTTCCACAGTAAAGCAAATTATTAGCTTTACTAAATAGTAAAGCAAATTATTAGCTTTACTAAATAGTAAAGCAAATTATTAGCTTTACTAAATAGTAAAGCAAATTAGTGGCAGGGTAAATGTTATCAATACAGCTTATACTCTCAACTTTGCATTTCTCTTTTCTATCTAAATTCAGTAATTTAGTGTTGAGTGAGTATGTGTGTGTGCACACACGTGTGTGTATGTATACTAGGAAAAGGAAGTAGAAGATGCAATCATAGTTGTTGGAAAGGAAAGACTTTCTAAAGTTGCTTTAGACAAATGGAATCTTTAATACCACTTTGTCAAAACAAGAAATGATGTTTATGTTATAATATGGTATAAGATGATATAGGATCTCAGAACCCTTATCCTAAGAGTGGGCGAGGGAGATAGTTATCTTTATTTCCCTCTGGTAAACCAGTGGTACCTCTTTTCTCTCTACTGAAGTTGAAAACAGAAAATTGAATGGTAAGAGGGCATTTTTCAGATCATCAGAAAGACTTCCTCATCCGATTCTCAAAAATCCAATGAATGTCCCAAAGGAATCAAAACAGAAGATAGACAAACTGAGTTGCAGGAGCATCCAGAAAAATGATCGATGGTGTGGGTCTCCACACTCTTCCACTGGCACTCCCAGTAATCAGCTATGTCAACTGGGAAGCAAAAATTATATGTTACTCGCCAGTACCGCAGAAATTCCCTTGGTGATGTGGCTTACCTGATTGTTCCACGCACACGAGAGGGAAGAGGAAGAACATTTCCTGGCCCTCTGCAAACCCAGGCAAAAATGTGAAGTGATAGCATTTGTCTTTAGACTCTTTATACCTCATTTTTTGTAAATCTCTCTCTTGCTGCCCTAATTCTTCTCATTCCTGCCCAGCCTGCCCCCACCCTCCAACTCTATTAATCCACTCCCACCTTCTCTCCAAATCAGAGCAGCCCGTTCCCTTGGTGTGGCCATCTCTGCAAAGGGGTAAGAGACAAGCTGCTCAAATGGCAGAGGAAACTAGTTTATACTAACTTGAGAATGACTAATAGCTCCATATCCTCTTAGGGGTACTTGTAGATTATATTTTTATTACAAAATATAGCCATATTATAGAAATTTGAAAAAAAAGAGAAAAGGGAAACAAAGCCCATAATGCCACCACCCTAACACAACCACCATTTCTTTTTTATTATTTTGGTGTATATCCTTCCAGTTATTTTCCTGAATGTTTTACTTGTTTACTCTCGGAATGTACACAAAAATTTTTATTATTTTGATGTAAACGTAACCATATTCTTAAATGCTGGGCTGTGTGTGTGTGTATGTGTTAAAGAATATATTTATTAACTTTTAAAGAATGGAAGTTTGGATGATATAAAAAGTAAAACATAAGAGTTCATAATTTAAATTTGGGGTTGGGAAAGCGATTTGGAGGAGAAGAATTCTAGAATAGCCTGGCCAGCTTTGCCTAGGAGTCTGACTCCTAAGGACAGTTCCCCTAAACTTTTCTGGTTTCCAGCTTCATATCTTTCATTTCTTTTGAAATTACAGATCCTTTGAAACAATAGCATGTTTTAAAGCATGGTTTCTTTGGTAGTACCTAATGGGAGGCCTTGGGTGTAGGGACTGAAATTGGGGACTGCCCATAAAACATTCGATGCTCTCATTCTTTGTCTTTGTTGATATTGTAGACTTTTGTCCTTGTAAATTTAAAATGTACTTTCAAGAAACCTAACTCACCAACCTGATCTTTTATTTTAATATTTAGGATTGTTTGGATAGATTTGAGGATTCACCTGTGACCTCATTTAAGCATCTTGAAAACACCAAATCGAGAGCAAGGCTCTTAGGGAAGAGCCCCGGCAACGCCCAGGTGCCAGATCCAGTAAAACTTTCAGTGAGGCCCTACACAGCGCCCCAGGGTCTCCAACGCCGAGAGGGCCACGCTGGGAAGTTCACGAGTCCTCGGATGGTTTCAGCAGGCTTAGTTCATGTAAATGATACAATCCCAGATTATGAAATCCATAAAATGCAGCAAAAGAAAAAATTAAAAGAGAATATTGAAAAACGTTCGCTCATTTGTGATATTATCCAAATGTTAAACAGTTCAGAATGATGCGTGAGGCCAACAGTCAGAATATCATCTCTCCAGTTAGCAGAGGGGTTTGGAGATCTGTCCTTTTGTGTGACAGAAGTCAGCAACCAAATTTCATCTTGTTACAACCATTTCGTTTTAATTAAAATGAAAAAGAAACGCTTTTGATGTAAACGTGTTTTTGTTTATGAACCTTCGGGAACAAACCCAGAAATACACATTCAGCTGATATTCATGAGTCAAGTTTCATGCCCCAAGCTTTGCTCCTTTCTCACATCTCGCAGCATCCCTCTGGTTGATGGTCCTCTGACTTCCCAGCCAGCTCTCCAGTACCCCCCACCCCACCCGCTAGGCTAGCTCGCAGTTGCTGGCGTTTCGCTTTTTGTAATGCAGATGCTTTTACTCTTCAGGTCTAGTTACATTCCTAGACTCAACAGCGTGCAATTCTTTAGGCCTATAGAACTTCTTATATTAATTTTAATATCGTCTGATGTTACAACTTTTTACACTACAAATAAAGACAGTAAAGAGCAGGTTTAATACTAATTCCCGAGGCATCTCCTACACTTCCTAACTTACCCAGAAAACTGTGCAAGGGCCTCTTTAATAACAGGAAACTCAGGAAACTGCATAAAACTGTAGAAACTGCGTACGTCATCCAGCCGAGTCACAGCCGGATTTAAATCAGAGGCGTCTGAGCGCTGGCTCTGTTCTTACCACCTACAGTCTTTAGCGCTCGTGGAACCTTGGTTCACTCTCGAGCAGTAAGAACTGCAATTTATAAAATTTTGGTCAGTTTCAATTTTTCTACCATAAATCATAAAGACCATGGGGTTTAAATAGACTTGGCTGATGCAAAACATAATTCCCGATCATTCGTTTAATGTTGTAATCAAGGTAGTAATTGTTTTTGGAGACCAAGAATGTCTAGTGATCCTCCAAGTTGTCGGTGCGTGTGTTGATCAGTGTGACTGGGAAAGCACCAATACCTCTGGATCTTTCCAGTAGAAGGAACACAGGGAACTGATTTCATGGGTGATGGAACCAAGGCTAAGAAGCCGAAAGGGATGCAGATGCAATCCAGAGGTTATCGAGAGAGGAAGTGCTACCACCCATCGGAGGGAAGGGACAGCAGAAGGAAGTGGTGTCACTAGAGTCCCAAAGCCAGAAGACAAAGACGATACAGCCGCTGCCAGGGACACCACAAGCAACAGGAGTGGGGCAAAGGATGAGAAATACCGTGCTGCTTCTCTCTCCTCCTGCCCTCGTGTCTTCTGCCATTGCCTCCCTGGGCACCAGCAAGTGAAGGATCATGGGAAGTGTGGTTCCCAGAGGAGCAGAGCAGGGGAGGAGAAGTGCATTTGAGAGCTAACAGGCAATTGACAAACAGTACTTATGAGGAAAACCATTGATCTGGCTTGCAGTAAAGGAGAAAATATTTCCTAGATGGAGCTCTCAAATCCCTTTGCCTTATTAAACTTTTAATGGCAATATTGTGACACACACAGTGGCAAAAATTTCCTACTATGGGGTCCGGCCCAGTGGCATAGTGGTTAAGTTCGTGTGCTCCACTTCGGTGGCCCAGGGTTCACAGGTTCAGATCCCGGGCACAGACCTAGGCACCACTTACCAAGCCGTGCTATGGCAGGCGTCCTACATAAAATAGAAGATGGGCACGGATGTTAGGCCAGGGCCAATCTTCCTCGGCGAAAAGAGGAGGATTGGCAACAGATGTTAGCTCAGGGCTAATCATCCTCCTCACACACACACACACAAAATTTCCTACAATGGAAATCTCTTAAATAAATTTTCTTTTCACAGGTCTTTTTTAAAAACAATAAAAAACTCATACCCTTTAAGGAAGAATTCCTTAAATATTTATTAAATGTCTACATTATGCCAAATACTTTGCTAAACACTAGGAATATACTCGTAAATAAGATGATATTCTCAAGAAGTCCACAGTCTAGTGGGGACATAAACACAGACATAGTTAAAAGAGTCGTGTGAGTGCAGTTTGGGGAAAGTACTACAGAAGCTCATAGGAAAGCATGTCAGCTGAGGTGACTATGCTAACTTGGGTCCTTCAGAAAGCAGACACCAAGTTGAGATTAAATGTGTGGTAGGCCGGGCCGGACCAGTGGCTTAGCGGTTAAGTGCATGCGCTCCGATGCTGGCGGCCCGGGTTCGGATCCTGGGTGTGCACCAACGCACCACTTCTCCGGCCATGCTGGGGCCGCGTCCCACATACAGCAACTGGAGGGATGTGCAGCTATGACATACAATTATCTACTGGGGCTTTGGGGGGAAAATAAATAAACAAATAAAATCTTTAAATGTGTGGTAGGCCAAATAATGACCCCCAAACATATCCATGGCCTAATCCCATGAACGTGTGACTTTGTAACCTTACACAGCAAAAGGGACTTTGGAGCTGGATTAACTTAAGGATCTTCAGATGGGGAGACTATCCTGGATTGTCTGGGTGAGCTCACTATAATCACAAGAGCCCTTATGAGAGAGAGGCAGGTCAGCCAGAGATGTGATCACTGCAGTAGAAATTGCCGTAATGCTGGCCCATGAAGCAAAGGAAGGGAGGTCGTCTCTAGAAGCGGGAGAAAGCAGCAGATTCTCCCTTAGAGCCTCCAGAGGGAACACAGCCCTGCCAACCCATTTTAAACTTCTGACCTCCAGAACTCTAAGAAAATAAATTTGTGTTGTTTGAAGCCACTAAATTTGTGGTAATTTGTTTCAACAGCAATAAAATCTAATACAGCAAGGAGGCTATGGTACAAGATTTAAGGCCCTCACTCTCAGGGTGAGGCCATCGGTCAATTACATCTACTGTGATGGTTCATCTTATGTGTCTGTTTGGTGCCCAGTTATTTGGTCAAACATAATTCTGATGTTTTGTGAGGGCATGTGGGATGAAATTAACACCTAAATCTTTAGACTGAATAAAGCAGATCACCCTCCTTGATGTGGGTGGGCCTCATTAGTTGAAGGCCTGAACAGAACAAAAGGCTGCTCCTCCCCCTAGCAAGAGAGAATGCCTCCCTCCTGACTGCCTTCAGACGGGGACATCTGCTTTTTCCTGCCTTTGGACTCGAACTGAAACATCAGCTTTTCCTGGGTCTTCAGCCTGCCAGCCTTTGGATGGGAACTACACTATTGGTTTTCCTGGGGCTCCAGCGTGCCCACTCCCCTTGCAGATCCTGGGACTTGTTAGCCTCTATAATCGTGTGCGCTAACTCCTTATCATACATCTTCTATTGGTTCCATTTCTCTGGAGAACCCTAATACACTCACAGTGGATCTGAGAGGCACTGTTTCATGGCCTCCAGAGTCCACCTTCAGCACTACACATATCAGCTCCCCACAAACTCAGGAAAACCTCCTCTCTGGTTCCTGTGAGCCTCCCTTGCTGAGGGGAAATTTAGAAGGAGGAGTTAGTGGAATGAACTATAGCTCTGATAAATAAATGAAAAGCAATAGGATGTATTGGAGTATATGAGGAAGCCATTTGGTGTAAAACTAATTTGGCCTGACCTTGTTTTTCCCAAAAGGGCCTGACGTGGCCTGTTGAGCATGCATTGTATATCTGCTTTAAATATTTACTATGTCCCACAGACAAGAACAATGCCCTTAAAGATAGAGATGTAGGTTCCCCCACATTGGCATTTCTTTTAGGATAAGTATCTCTCTCTAAAGATTAATTGCTGACCTGCTGTGCTCACCTTGTGACCACTCACCTTGTAACCACTTACCTGCTGTGTTCACTGATCTGCTGTGCCAGCAAAGCAATCTCGTGACAATTGTAAAAGGGACATTCCTATATGTGATGCATGCTCTTTGTTCCAAGATGGTATATAACCACTATGTATACCCCACTTCTTTGGTCTCCTTCCTTCCTTGGGGAAGGAAAGCCCCAGGCTAGTCCTCAGATCTGGCTCATGATAAACTCACCCCAAGTTTGATTTATAGATTGATTATGGATTATATGCGTTGACAGCTCCCACCACTACTGGTGATCTCAGGGCCTCAAATGGTACTCATCTCCTCTCTTTCCTCCACCTGGGCAGCTCTTCATGGCTTACTTGATGGAGTAACCTAAACCTTCTTGATGGGGGCTGGCCAATAATCATCAAAAGATTTGTGTTTCAAATTGTCTATTAATTTGTGTATTATTTGTCTTACTGATCTTATTTTTTTAGTCTTAAGACAATCATTTAAAAATAATTTGTAATGTAATGTTAAATAAAAGTGTACAGATTAAGAAAATCCACTAACTGAGGTAGTCCTAATTTACCACAGTTCAAACTTCATACTCTTTTTGAGACACAGCATTTCTCTTTTGCAAATAAGGTAAAACCAATAATTAAGATCTCTATGTCCTTATATGTTGTATCCCCTACAGGAGAATAATAATCATATAAAGCGTCACAACACTTCTGCCTCCTGAATCAAATAACCAGCTTTCTGCCCTCTGCATCAAATACCAGCTTGGTCCCAATTCACTATGTTATGTAAATAAATCTGTTTGAGAAAGGGCTTTCCTTGGCAAAACAAAACAGAATCTGTGTTTCAGCTCTGTCAAGAACCCTAATAAATAAAAGCATAAGCTCAATTTAAAAAATCTTTATTGAGCTCCCACGGGGTGCATGAATTTAAGATCTATAATTTAAGTAGGAAAGTGTTACTTTAGCCTTAACAATAAAAAAAGCAAATTACAACTTCTGTATATATTTCAAGTGAATCATTTAATGTGAGGCTCAGTTTGATATTACCATAAGTATTAACAGAAAAAAATGGGTAAGTATAAACATTTTCCCTTCTACCAAAAAAGGGTTTGATGCCAGGATAAACTAGCCTGTTGGTCTAACAATAGCTGATCAAAAAGGCTAGAGAACCTGGAGGTAAAAAATGTACCTGGAGGCACTGTCCTCTGAGGGCTCATTCCCCTGAGGGCAGCAAAATGCCGAAACAATCAACTGGCTCAATAGTGAGAGATCACGGAGAGGAGTCAGTCACAGCTTGGGGAAAAACTTGAGAACAGATGACACTAAATGTAGCTAGATGAATAATTCCGAAGTTTCTCTGGAGTTATAACAACACTCTGAGGTGACCAAAGGGCTATACACCTGTGGTCCTTTGAATAGAGTGGTTTGAAATGACAGATTCTCCAGTGCACCAACTGTATTTTCAAGTATAATTCTAGTATTTGTACCTAGAAATACAGAAGGGAAAGCAGCAGGGAGAAGATGTCAAGTATACAGGACATAAAAGGACGTGGCAGCCCTAGAATTCCCAGTCGGATGCTTTCTCATCAGGAAAGTCACATTCTGGCTCAGTCCAAGGGGAGGCTGGAGGCAGTGCTGTTGATGGCTTGTGACAAGCAGGAGGCAGCAGTGAAAGAATTGAATCCTGGCTTTCTTCTTTCATCTGTTAAAGAAACTCAAAATAAGGCTGTTGGTATATAAATCAATACATTAGTTTTGTTAGCAATAAATAACTTTTAAAGAAATCATGTTAAAAGTGTTTGAAATTGTTCTTAGGGATTTTCGCCAAAAATGCTTTTAATTCTGGTCATCTAAAAACAGGAAGAAGCAAATAAACCGATTTGTATCAGAATTATTTTGTCCTTTCATCATTTCTAGCCAAAATAGAAAAATAAGAGTCTCTAATCAAAATATAAACTGAGGATATAGTAACATATGATATTCTGTTTGTTTTTACTCATTTCGTTTTGCAGAATGAAAATATTTTAGAAAGTCTATAATTGAACTACCAAAAAAGTTTTCTTGTTTTTAACTTTACCTTGTAAGAAAATTATCATTAAGAATGTTGGTAACAAGACTGTCCTATTAAGCCAACAAAATGAAGTGACTTTTTAATAGTATTTAAAAACATCTAGATAGCAGAAGATAGATAAGCTCACCTGTTTGAAGAAAACATGGGACAATAAACTGCTTGCTGATGGCCTGAAATTTTTTAAAAAAGTGATAAAAAAAAAAATAGAACCTCATATTAGAATGTAGTTTTTTAGGTATAAAAATATATTAGAAATTAGGTGTAGAGCTATTAAACCCAGTAATAAAAAATTAAAAGGAAAAAGAATATATGTCAGGAAGCCCAATTCTTAGCTTCAACTTTTACTAATGAGAAGAATTAATTCTAGAGATATCCTTCCATTGGTCCATAACTCAACATTTATTGGGCACTTACTAATTATAAGGGACTAAAAAAAGATAAATAAGACACACATCTTATTTCCAAAATGCTAATGCCAATATATGATATGCTATGATGATAATTTTTATAATAATAGCAGTGACTAACGTTTTTGTATTGCTTCAAGTTTCTAAAATGTCTTAACATAAATGCAGTAATTAAAGTCTGGAAAGATTAACTGACTTTTACAAGGTGACTTGGTTACGAAATGACACGGCTGAGACAGAGCCCAAGGCCTCTGACTTCGAACCCAGTAGTCTTCCCACTCGCTCATTGTCTCTACTTGTTTTTAGCACTGACATTTTCTGGATTAGACTATAATTTTTTGATTAAAAGATCTGAATTTGGCAGGAATGGAATATCACAAAGCTTCTATAAAATATAAAACACATATGCTTTATGCTATTTAGACGTGACCAATATTACCTTTTCTCAGGATCTTGTTGCAAACAGAGCTGTACCAAGCTAAAGAAGGCAGGAGAGAAAGCTTTTGAGGATGGCGTTTGCAATCTGTCACTATTGACTGTGCGAGTTCCACTGGAGGCAAGTACACTTTCTCCAATCCCAGAGTCTACACCCGATCGGGAATTCTTCATTCTCGATTCTGATTGAGGGAAAATACTGATATCCAATGGGCTGTAAGGAGGACCTTTCAGTTTCTGTAAAAGCATCTAAAAGAAAGAAAAATTTCCTTCAACTCTTTTTAGGCAAAATAGTAAAACAACAATAAAGACCCTAAGAGTCTACAGCAAAGGTGTTTAACAGATATCATCTAGAATGAACAGGATCTTACGAAAGGGAAGTAGTTCAGGGATTTTAGGAGCATTTACCTGAGTCCTATGCATGTCCTGGAAAGGTACCTGCCCACTGGCCAATTCACATGCTGTAATCCCAACACTGTAAATATCTGACTTCACATTATATCCATGTAAATCCTGTAGAACAATTAAAGTCCTTCAGTGTAAAGAACTTAATAAAATGTTACATACAAGTGCTTTTTTGATAAAGAATGGTGAACAATAATGAAAAAAACCCGTATGTGAGAAATCAAGATATACCTAATATATGATATACATTTAAAAATTCCTAACATCATAATTTTGACAAGAAAGATACAAAAGCCTTGCAGTAGGCCATTCACCATCCAAATATAAGGGCACAACTGTCCTTCAGTCAGGCTCAGAAGACGGTGGAGACGCACAGACAACCCAATGCAACGGCCACACCTGACCTGTCTCAGGAGTTCTGGACTCAGCCACGGCTGCACTGACGTGCTGAACTGTGGGAAGTCATACACAGCCCTATGCCTCTGTCCGTGCTTAACCAGACTACGCAGATGGGACAGGCCAGAGAGGGTCACTAGGCCATCACCAGAAATGAGGATATGGCTGGCTTTAAAACTCCTAGAACAAAAAGAAACAATCCTAAATACTAAGAAACTGGCCAATGAAGAAACAATAAAAATTTGGTCAGAACAAATCCATGTATTCTCTTGGGAATTAAATACTCTTTAAAAAATAGCAGCACACTGATATATATATATATATATATATATATATAATGTTCAGGGAATTGAGGGATCCTTTCAGCTATTTAATATGGCATTAGAACAAGGGAAGATATAACTGAAAGCTACTTGTTTGGAAGTGATAACATTTTTTTAAACTAGGAATAGAATCAAATTATTAATTTCACTATTTTAGGATGCTGTTGCAAAATACTTGAGAAGTCTAAAAAAATCAATTAAATAATATTTGAAGCATAAAGTTAGAATTTAAAGTTAAAGGCAATATTATCCAATAAAAGGCAGCCTCTCATGGTGTTAACATCATTTATAAAAATGTCTTACATAAAAATTTCCTTTGTCAAATAAATTATAAAAGAGCCTTGTTTTTCATCTAAAACACTGAATTTGGAATCATAGAGTAGGATGGCCAATCGCCTGGTAAAGTGTAATAAAACCTTGATTAATTAGAATACAGTCTGTTAGAAATCCTCAGTTAACCAGAATGCTGCTAAAAAAACAAAAACAGTAAGATAAAAAGCATTAAGCAAATTGAAACAAGCAAGAAAACAAACTTATTTAAAAAGTAACTTAAAAAGGAAAACAGAGTCCCAATGTATCTTAGAATAGCATTGTTTCTAACATTCAGCCAATTACTTCTGTTTGGTAACAAGAGAATTGATATTTAGTATGATAATCTCAAGGTGCTGCAAAATATTTAAGAAATCAAAGCAAGGTTTAGTTACAATTTGTACATGATGTAAACATGACATAAAGCTGAAAAGCAGACAAAGAAGCTCTTTATTTGTGTAAGAAAAACAAAAAGAGCTCACTAGAATCCCACTCCCTCCAGCAATCCTCAGATAGACAGATTCTTGCACCCTCCCTGCTGACACCGTGAGCTCCTGGGAGCAGGTGTGCCCTGCGCTGAGCAAGCACTGGGCACGGGGCACGTCTGGGGAATGAACATAAACGTCAGCGTCTACTGTACTGAGGGCTCCCTCCTCCCTCCGTTCTAACACTCCACTGCTCCTTCCTACAAGTTCCCCAAAAGATTTCTTCGACTAAAATTCTTTCGTTTTGTAAAACACAAGTAAATACCTGTGAATACAGCCATTCTGGTGCAGATAGTTCAACCCTCTCACTGCTCCAAAGAGAATGTTTCTTATTAAAGGTTCACTCATTCCTTCAGGAAAGTAAGTCCTCAAGAGTTGACTTGCTGAACCTGAAAGAAACCCCTGAAATCTTTAAAAGAACAGTGAAAGTGATTTTGCTTCTAGCTATGTTGTAAATGTTCTTTTCAACCGTAAACACACATTCACCTGTTACATTTTAGAGCCTAACCACCTTCTTACGCAAAGGTAATTTCCCTTCAAGAATCTTTAAAAAGACTCTTTTAATGACACTCTAGAGACTAGGAAAGAGAAGTAACAATTTTCAAAAGCACTGAAAAAATACATTCTGTGTGCATATACACATTTTTAAATCCAGAGGCAATTCATAAAAGCTGTCCTAGGGCTGGCCCCGTGGCTTAGTGGTTAAGTGCGCGCGCTCCGCTGCTGGCAGCCCGGGTTCGGATCCCGGGCGCGCACCGACGCACCGCTTCTCAGGCCATGCTGAGGCTGCGTCCCACGTACAGCAACTAGAAGGACTTGCATCTATGACATACAGCTATCTACTGGGGCTTTGGGGGAAAAAAATAAATAAATAAAACATTAAATAAAACATTAAAAAAAAAAAAAGCTGTCCTAAAAATCAAAGCTCTGGAATCCATTCATTTATTTATTCAACACACTATTGAACTACTTTGTGTGGGTACCGGATGAGCACCTGGGGACACCAAAATGAAAAATACATACACAATCCTGCCCTTGAGGAGCTTGAGTCCAGGGAAGGAGAGGAGGACACACACAGATGTTCACAAGACAGTGAAATACATGTACAACGCAGAGAAATAGGGATAGGAACGGCATACACAGGTGGAAAAACTTCTACTTGAAAAACAATAGTATCTCTCTCTTGAGAGAGGAAGGAGCCTGGAGGGGAAGAGACAGCTGTGCAAAGGGACGGACTTCTTGGAGAAGCAGTGGGGTTTCACTGAGCATTAGACGCATTCCACTTTTTTCTGAAGACTAAAATTCAACATGAACCAGATATAGAAATATATCACGAAATCTAGAATTGGCCATCAGATTTATAAACTAAAAGTAGTAAATCATAAATCTAAGATCCTACTCATCCTTATAATTATAGCATCCAGGCTATATTATGAGTTATTTGATCTAAAACGAGTTTTCTTACCATAGGCCATAAACGGAGAAATAACCCAAAGCCAGCTGCCAACAGTGAAAACAGTCCAGTAAGTTGTAATATTGGGGTGCCGGAAAAAGTGGGATAGAATCACTGCTTTCTAGGATAGACACACAGGAGACAAGACATTTAAAACAAGCTTTTTTTCCTTATGATGAAGATAATAGCAGTAGAGGCAGCTAACACTCAATGCAGCTTATTAGTACTAAGTACGGTTCTTAGTGCCGCCATCTCTCTAAATCTCACAACCACTACACGAAGTACGTGATATTATGACCCCCGTTTTACAGAAGCGGACATGTAGAAATCAGTCAGAAAGCTTGTCCAAGACACATAATTAATACGAGAAGTGGACACGGGATGTGAACTCAGTCTGACTCCAGAGGTCATGCTCTTAATAACTATCCTATGTTCTTATTATAGAAACATTTAAAAATACATAAAAATACGAAGATCAAAGTCCCTTCTAACACTATATCACAGAGAGAACCATTGTTAACATTTCAGTATAATTTCTTCCAATCTTTTTTTTCTCTGCAATATACATGTGCACATACAAGTATTTTAAAAATTGGGACAATGTTAAAACAAAATCCTTTCCTTCTTTATACCAAAACTGATTAGTGACAATGAAAATGGTATTAACATTCCTGATATGCAATTCTGTCAAAATTGATCAATTTAGAAGATAATTTTATTTAACTGGATTAAAGGAGACTGACTGCTTTTGTTTTTTCTATTTCCCTATATGACTATTTGTGATTGGACTGACCAGGGGTGTTGCGAATCTCCAAGCCAGCATTTCAAATATGATCTTCATTTGAAAGAATTTATAGTAGTTACCAAAGTTTGAATATATTTGTTCTTTCATGGATCTGGCTTCCAAGTATTCTTTCCAATTCTATAATTACATGTTTATTAGAAGAAAGAAATCTACTTTTCTAACAGAAAGAACTATTAATTTGGGGGGGAAAAATTCCTATAGATGTAATCTCCTCAAATGGACATTACATTAAATGTATCATTTTTTCGTATTGTTACCTGTAAAGCTTTCAGGCGTTCTTCAGTGCAGTCTTCCAGATTTGTAATTTTTATAGTCACCAGGGTTCCTGTAGGAGTATGCCGTGCAAGATGGACAGAAGTCAAGTTATCAAATCCTCTTCCTATAATCAGACGTAAAACTTGTGTTAGCAACCAAAGAAGAAAAAATTGATAATTTGGACTTCATCAAAATTAAAAACTGCTCTTCAAGAAAACACAGTTAAGAAAATGAAAAGGCAAGCCACTGATTGAAAGTATTAATATTTATAACTGAAAAGACTTATATCTAGAGTACATAAAGAACTCTTACAGGGCCGGCCCCATGGCGTAGCGATTAAGTGCGCGCACTCCGCTACTGGCGGCCCGGGTTCGGATCCCGGGCACGCACCGACGCACTGCTTCTCTGGCCATGCTGAGGCCGCGTCCCACATACAGCAACTAGAAGGATGTGCAATTATGACATACAACTATCTACCGGGGCTTTGTGGGAAAAAAAAGGAGAAGGATTGGCAATAGATGTTAGCTCAGAGCCGGTCTTCCTCAGCAAAAAGAGGAGGATTAGCATGGATGTTAGCTCAGGGATGATCTTCCTAAGGAAAAAAAAAGAAAAAAAAAGAACTCATACAACTCTCTTATAAGATGACAAACAACCCAATTAAAAAATAGGCAGAAGATCAAATAGGCAATCCACAAAAGAAGATATAGGAATGGCCAATAAGCACATGAAAAGATGCTCAAGAGAGAGAAATGCAAATTAAAACCACGATATACGATTACATACCTATTATAATTGCTAAATCGTGAATTGATAAATTGTGACACAGTCAAACAATGGAATGCTATTTACAATCTCGTACACCCACGCCCAGTCCCTGGCAACCACTGATGTGATTTTTGTTTGTCATATAAACGGCTTCATAATGAATGTAGTCTTTTGTGTCTGGCTTCTTTCACTTAGCATGCTGCTTTTGAGATTCATCCATGTTGTTGTATGTTTCAGTAGTTAGTTTCTTTTTATTGATGAGTAATAATCTATCATATGGATATACCATAATTTATTTATCCATTCATAAGTTGATAGATATTTGGGATGTTTTCAGTTTTTGGTGACTATAAATAAAGCTGCAAAAACATTCTTTAGGTAGATATGCTTTCATTTCTCTTTGGCAAACACCCGCGAGGGGATTGCTGAGTCATGTACGTTTAACCTTACAAGAAGTTGCCCAACTGTTTTTGAAAGTGGCTGAATCATCTGTATTCCCACAAGCAATGTGTAAGAGCTGTAGCTGCTTGGCATACGCTCCAGCATTTGGTGTTGCCAGTTTTTAAAATGTGAAAGACCAGAGTGGCACCTCTGAATAGGCACCCAATCAATGAGAGTTCCCTCCCTCTCTCCACTCGCCAGAATCTGCCACTTTTACCTGTAAATGCAGTTAGTCTCAAATTCATCCCCTCCACAGCATCACAGCCTCAGTTCAAGATCTGTCCCCTTTCCCTGGACAGACGCAGTGACTTCCTCACTACACCCTGCATTCTCACGCAGGGCACGCACTGAAAGGACTGAGGGAACTACTTCAGAAGCCTGTGCCGAGGTCCCATTCGCCAGGAGTTTTGATGCAGCAGGTCTGTGCTGGGACACAGGCACTGCAATTTTTAAAGACTCAGGTGATAAGGATGATACTTCTGGCTGTAAATCACTGATCTACATCTTCCAGACTGCTGCCAGGTGTCCCTCTAAACTCAGCATTTTATCAACAGAAAGGTACTACAGTGAAGCAGCTGGAAACTTAGACCCTACAGTCAGAAAGGCTTGTTTTCAAAGCACTAGCTGTACGACTGTCACTTACATTTTCAGAGCCTCATCTGCAAAATGAGTGGTAAAGGGGTGACAAATTTATATGAAAAAATGCATAAAAAACGCTCAGCATAATGCCTGTTAGATGCTATTGCTACTATCGTCACTATACCACAATGCCTCAGAGAGAGGATCACACAGTGAGGACAAATTCCAAACTCCTGCCTTAAATCCTCTGATTAACGAAGTGGGTGAGTTGTGGAGGCTGACAGAGAGTCTGAACGTCTAAATACACCATATAAAGTCTTTCACACTGTGTTCCAAACCTCCCTTTCCAGACTGATCTCCTACCACTCCCTACTCTCCCACTTCTGGGCACAGAGCAAGTATGTGGTAGTCCCCCTCTAACCATTCTTCCTCGTCATCTACGGAAGTGAATATTTTTTACCTTTTTTTGGATTGACACCATCTAAACCTCCTTTCTAATTTGGGGGCATTGTCCACCAGAGCTATTTTAGAAAAGGTCAGATCCTTATTCTCTCTTGGTCTCCTTGACCCTGGCATGGGAAGGTCAATGACCTAAGCTTGGGCAACTGGAGGATGGAGTGAGTGACATAAAGAGGCAGGGGCAGTCAGAACTCACTGCAGGGGGGTCCCGTGTCTGGTGGTATAAGTACCCTCACTGGGTAGTACACTAACTAGGTAGTCCACTAACTAGGCTGCTCCCATGCCGTGGCCCTGGCTGCGGCTCTAGTCAGGTGGCTTCTCTTGGTTTCTCCCAAGCTTATTTCTCTAGCCAATAATTCAGTGAGTTAGCAATATTGTTCAGAAAAGTCCTCGTTTGCTTAAGTTAGTCAGGATTTTTTTGTTGTTTATAACAAAAACCCTGACTAGAACATTCAGCAAACTTTTCTGCATTCTTCAGGATCCAGTTCCTTTTTGCTCTCCTTCTTGACTCCCAGAGGGGTCAAGATGGATAGATGGATACTCCATTTTCTCTGTTCCCATAACACAGCACACCTCTACTATGGTAACCTCTAGTGCATAAAACAAAGCTATCTCACGTGTTCATCTTCCCTGAGAGGATGTGAACTCCTCACATGTTTTACATGGCTTTATATCCCTAGCACCTAACATAGTATCTGTTTGTAGTGTTTAATAGATGCTTCTGATTATTCAGAGAAAAGGTTTCACAGGTATAAGGCTATAAACAATAACCCAGCCTGTTCCAAACTTAACTGAGAAAGATCTCTACTACAAATGAGATTTTAGGTAAGTTTTTTTCTTTTATTGAGGTCATAATAGTTTATAACATTGTGAAATTTCAGTTGTACATTATTATTTGTCAATCACCATATAAATGTGCCCCTTCACCCTTTGTGCTCACCCCCCAACCCCCTTGCCCTCTGGTAACAACTAAACTGTTCTTTTTGTCCATGTGTTAGTTTGAGATTTTAGGTAAGGTTTTTTTTTTTGGTTAGGAAGATCAGCCCTGAGCTAACATCTATTGCCAATCCTCCTCTTTTTGCTGAGGAAGATTGTCCCTGGGCTAACATCCGTGCCCATTTTCCTCCACTTTATATGTGGGACGCCTGCCACAGCATGGCTTGATAAGCAGTGCGTAGGTCTGAGCCTGGGATCCGAACCTGCGAACCCTGGGCTGCCGAAGCAGAGTGCATGAACTTAACCACTATGCCACTGTGCTCACCCCTTAGGTAAGTTTTTAAGCTAAAAGAAAGTAATTTGGCTAAAGGACTGTGACTTAAAAGATTTACATGATTTGATTTTAATTCATACCCAGTATATATTATAGACATAAAATCAGAAGCTTCCCACAATAAAGACACAAATAAAAAATATTTAGATTATTTAGTGTCTTCCTTCTCTAAAAATACTTCAGTGAAAAAGTAAAAATTCTAGAAAGTAATCTTGAAAAAACTGGGCCACTATTTTATTACAGACATAAAATTAATAGACCTATTTGACTGACACAATATCTAGTTTTATGCTGTAGGTGACAACAGAAAAAGACCTGCCTACAAAATAATCTTTTTGTCATCAATTTCATTTCTAACAATAAAGGGTCAATTATATGAAATCCAGGATTATTACCTATTTCCACTTGGAGTTCATAGTGAGAAACATTGGTGGAACAGATCACTTCACTGGTTCTAGTGGACGAAGGCAACCAGGAATGGGTTGGCTCATCAACCTGCATTGTTTTAAAAAGATGAAAACAAAACAGGTATAAACTTTTCTGGTCCCCTACCCCAATATAAAATACTGATACTGTATTTTCAAACACACAAGTGCTCATTAGAAAGGCACTGAAAGGTGGCTTAAGAGACTAAGATCTAAAAACAGTTTATAACTGCTAATAATTGATGTTAGTTATAAAGCTGTCAGCCTGAAAAGGGGGAGAGGGCAGGAAAAGCAGATCTGCAGGTCATAGAGAATACTTTCCAGCACAACTTCCAGTAAGAATTTTTAGGAGTTGCTAACAATGGCTGTTAAATCTTCAGGGTATCTAATAAACAGATCAAGGGAGTAGATGCAGGGACCTGGGAGGGACAGTCCACGTTTGCGCTCTAGTGTCAAGTGGTTGCCAGTTATATCCATCATACATATAGGTACCTGCTCAGCTAGTGGAGGTGTTAACAGTCAAGGAATAATTTCCACACTGCAGCCTATTAAAATTGCTGAAGAAGTTTTTCACAAGATGAAATGAATGAGAAGGGACGTCAGAAAGAAAAATGAACCTCAAGAGATGGGAGAATAGAGTACAGACCTCCTGAGTTAATGACCATGTACCAAAATGGAGCCTCACAGGGTGCTCCAGAGTCAGAGTCCTAGATTTGCACCCAATCCCAGTGGCAGTAAAATAACACGCATGCAAGAGAAAGAAGAGGCCAACACCACTGGTATCATACAGCCATGAGGATCTTCCAAAGGACAACAGCACTCCAAATGACACTCAGGTGCCATTATAGGCACCAGCAGGTGGCAGGAATCTTGTTACTGCCTCCAGGGTAGAGAGAAGGAAGAGGGGATTAGAAATGACATTATTAGGTATCAGAATTGTGCTAACTACTTTTTACATCCTTCATTCCTCATGTTCCCTAAACTTTTAAGAGAGCAGAAAAAATGTAATTATAAGCTCATGGCTAAAGATGAATAACGGTGAATACTGTTCAAGAGAGATGAAAGACTGAAAAGAAATTCTATTATATAATTGAAAATAATCCCAATGAAGAAAGAAGAGAAATCTAAATAAATCAATTTAATTTCTTTAGAATAGGTAGGCTTCAAATAAACTCAGATTTAAAGAACACATATAAGAGATAGAAAGAAGAGCATACAACAATATACAAAAATTTAACATGCTAACCGGTAGGCCTGTCAGGACGCCAGAGCACAGAACGAACTGAGGCTTACAGGTCACTGCTTGAAGAAACGGCAGCAGGTTACCAGATGACGGATTGAAATCAAACTAATCAACCTCTACTTTGCTTCCATCTACTCCATTAGGGAAATAGTCTTCTTTAAACCAGAAGGTGCACATATGTTGTAAATAAGTAGCTGAAGCCCAAAACAGGTTGTTTTAGACAGGTTCAAGCCTCCAGGCCAAAGACAATTACATCTAGGATAATAAGTTTGCAGACACAGTAGAACTCAGACAAGAAACCAGAATGGAAATAGTCAAACACTGACCTAATTTTCAAAAAAGGGAGAAAACTACAAAGCTTGATGCAGTTGCCCAGTAAAGTCTGATATCAAATTACTAGACAGATGAATTATGGACACTTAAGAAAACAACATGGTAATCACTACAGGACAGCATAGGTTTACTAAGAGTAAATCATCCCAAACTAACTTCACTTCTCTTTTTGATGTGATGACTAGTTAGAGAATTAGACAGCAAAAAAATCACGGCAGGGTCCTTGTCCTTGTTAGACTTTTTAATAACTTCCTAAAAATGCAAAAGATCTGCTTAATGAATAATCTGAAAAGGAAATCATGAAAATAATTCCACTTACAATAGCATCAAAAAGAATAAAATACTTAGAAATTAACTTAATCAAGGAGGTAAAAGACTGTACAATGAAAACTACAAAACATTGCTAAAAGAAATTAAAGACGACATAAACAATGTGGAAATGCATCTCATGTTCAGAGATTGGAAGATTTAAGATTGTTAAAATCTCAAGGGACCCCAAATAGCCAAAACAATCCTGAAAAAGAAGAACAAAATTGGAGGACGCATGCTTCTTGATTTCAAAACTTACTACAAAGCTACAGTAATCAAAACAGTGTGGAGGGGTATAAAGACAGAAATATAGACCAATGGAACAGAATAGAGAACCCAGAAATAAACCCTCACATATATGGTTAAATGAATTTGGACAAGGGAGCCAAGATCACTCAATGGGGCAAGGATAGTATTTTCAACAAATGATGCTGGGAAAACTGTATATCCACATGCAAAAGCATGAAAGTGGATCCTTACCTAATACCATATACAAAAATTAACTCAAAATGGATCAAGTATCTAAATTTAAGACCTAAAACAACAGAACTCTTAGAATAAAACATAGGACAAAAGCTTCACGACATTGAATTTGGCAATAATTTCTTGGATATGACACCAAAGGCAGAGGCAAAAAAAGAAAAAATAGACAAATTGGACTTCATGAAAATTTAAAAATTTTGTGCATCAAAAGACACTATCAACGAAGTTAAAAGGCAACCCACAGGATAGGAGAAAATACCTGTAAATCATATATCTGGATAAGGTGTTAGTATCCACAATATCTAAGAACTCCTAAAACTCAACAACAAAAAAGCAAACAACCCAATTCAAAAATGGGCAAAGGACTTGAATAGACAACATTTCTCTATTGAATAATAATTCCATTGAGTTATTGTGGCCAATAAACACATGAAATATCCTAAATATCACTAATCATTAGGGAAATGCAAATCAAAACTATAAGATACCACCTCACACCCATTAGTATGGCTACTATCAGGAAACAGAAAATAACAAGTGTTGGTGAGGATGTGGAGAAATCGGAACCCTCGTGCACTGTTGGTGGGAATGTAAAATGCTACAGCCACTGTGGAAAACAGTACGGTGGTTCCTCGAAAAACTAAAATAGAATTACTATATGATCCAGCAATTCCACTTCTGTGTATATACTCAAAAGAACTGAAATCAGAGTCTCAAAGAGGTATTTGTATACCCATGTTCATAGTAGCATTATTCACAACAGCCATATGTGGAAGCAACCCAAGTGTCCATCAACAGACGAATGGATAAACAAAATGTGGTATATACATACAATAGAATATTATTCAGCCTTAAAAAGTAAGGAAATTCTGCAATATGCTGCAATACGAATGAACCTTGAGGATATCATGCTAAGCCACAAAAAGACAGATACAATATGATTCCACTTATATTAGGTATTTAGAGCAGTCAAAATCACAGAGACAGAAAGTAGACTGGTAGTTGCCAGGGGCTGGGGAGGGAGAGGGAATGGGGGGTTATTGTTTAATGGGTACAGAGTTTCAGTTTTACAAGATGAAAAGAGTTATGGAAATGGATGATGGTAATGGTTGCACAAAATTATGAATGTATTTGATGCCACTCAACTGTACACTTAAAAACGGTAAGTTTTATGTTATGTGTATTTTAGCACAATAGAAAAAAAGCAGCAGCAGCACCTGCGGAAGTTTCCTGAGTCCTAGGCCTCTCTCTTGGCAACAGCAAGGAGACAACAGACACTCTGCTCTCTGAACACCACCTCAGTCTGAAGGGTAATACTTGAATGAAAACTAGGATTAGACGACACATCCTATTGTACACAAGGGCAGGTAACGAGACGATTTTAGAGTATTAGTGAGTAAAAAGTGAAATGACAAAACGAAGACAACTGAAGATAGGATCAGGATTAATTTATAAACAGGATTAACTGGGATTACTTTATTTTATAGGAAATAAGGCATTTGCAAGGCAGGTTCCATTTTGTAGTAAGAACTGCAGTATAAAGTAAGGATTAAGGCAGGGAAAGATCCCACAGAAATATTTATTCCCAAGCACGTTTTTTAAAATATTATCAAGCATTGCCCAGGGGAGATAAAGATGGAAAAGACAGGATGCCTATTTTATGGGGATCATGTTATGGTTGGAGAAACATATACACCAATCATTATGAGCTAATACAGGAAATGCCATTTTATGGGAATGTCTAAGATACGCAGGAGCATAATGGAATAAGAGGTACAAAAGGAAAGGCTTCAGAGATGTGATATTTGAGCCAACTCTATGGATGAGGAGGAATTTTAGAGGCAGAAAAGGGAGAAGGGTATTTCAAGCAGAAAGAAGAGTATGTGCTAAGACTCAGCAGCAAGAAATGAAACTCGAAAATTAGACATATTCTACACCATTAAGAGTCCTTATACCACGCTAAGTTTAGGCTTTATCCCATAGACTTTAGGAAACCAATGGTTGTTTTAAAGCTGGAAAGTGACACAAGCAGGCCTGTATTGGTAATGGTGTTGAAGACTGATCTGAGTGGTGACAGGAGGTTATTGTGTGTCTAGAAAACTAGAGGCAATGTGTCTACCTGCAATAGTCCGGGTGAGAGATGATGAGACTTGAGTAGCAGCAGTGATCAGGCGAAGGAGGGGATGGACTCAAGGACATTTCAAATACAGATACGTCAGACTTGGTGTATAAGTAGATGTGGGGGCAGAGGTAGAGCCAGTGTGAAGATAACTCCCCAGTTTCTAGTTAGGGTGACTTAGTAGATGGGTTTTCATTAGCCCAAGCAGGAAATACAATGGGCTGCTGAAGTTTGATTAAGATTTGACTCAAACTGTGTAGAGATGCCTTTGAAAACTCTAGTTTGAGGTATTCTGTGGACACTTGTCATGCCCAGGAAAGAGTCCAGGATAACAGGTAACAATGTGAGAATCATCAGTCCTGCTTGATGCCACGGTCCTCTCTTGAACTGAAGGAAAACCTAAGGTAGCTCCAGGACAATCTGAAATCTGAGCAACTGAAGTGACAGGAACAGGTGAGACTGCTCAGGGAGAGGCAATTTAGGCCACTTATAGGCTTCTACAGAATAGCAGGAGTAGAGTAAGAAGAAACAGTAAGACACTGTAAAGAAAAAGAGATACAGGAGAACCAGGAGTGAATGGTATTACAGAAGGCAAAGGAGGAATAGTAATTGTACTCAATCATTTTCTTACCAAGTATTGATGGATACTGGTTTCAGACTGTTTTTCAGCTCTGAGTGATTCAACTCGTGTTCGTGAAATGCAGAAACAATCCTGGAAATTCAGAAATGCATTAATCAAGTAAGTGAAAAATAAGTCAGAAGATAAGTAAGGGTGGCATGTGGTTACGAAAAGGTCTGGTGACGGGGGTGAGGGGCAGAGAGAAAGGGTAGTATGCAGGAACCTGGAACTGAAGTCAGGATCCATACCGTGGAGGTACTCAGTATGGGAGAGAGGGGAGAAGCAGCTGGGTGTGCAGAAGACAAATTTCATATCTGTTATAAACTTGGAGCTATCTCTGATCCTTATCCTCTCCTCTGGAGGACATAATATCAATTCATTTTTACAGCTGGTGTAATATTTAACCCTTTCATCATCTTTGCTAAGGATTATTCTGCTATATTCATTATAATCATTTTTATTTTGATCCACAGATTTTTTTTTTCCTTAAGTGTAGGAACGATGTTTAGCCACATTAAACCACACATTGAGTGTATTTGGAACCAACTTTGTTTCTTAAGGTGATAAACATCTCTAACTTCAACTCAAAGCAAATTAAGAGACTTAGTTCCATTATCACAATTTATATTTTCCTGCATTTTAACCCATTGTCCTGTTATCACATATTGCCAATAAAGAAATGTAACATGTACATGTGATTTATCTCATCATCAATTAGTGGGGTGAAGCTGACCTTACACTATTTAAGAAGAAAAGGTATGTCAAAAGAAAAGTGTAAGGAAATTGCATGAAAGAGACTTTTATAATAAATCATTTTCAAGCATCTCATGAACATTCATTTCTATATGAACATTAAAGTACTAACATCAAATGAGTCTGTAAGATAAGTCCATCCATTAACACTTTGTAGTCAGTTACTTAAAAGTAATCAAACTTCCTTTCTTTTAAAATATGCCAGAATTTCTCACTAATCAAATTAGTCATTTTCCCAGTTAGCCTGAATTACTGATTATTTTAAGTTGAATCCCTACAGTTTGTATACTTCATCAATCTTATCACAATAATTTGATATATATCCCCACTGTTTTACGTAAAACTCACCCCTGAAGAAGAGAAGCTAACAATGTCAAGATAGCACTAGAATCATTTTCTTTGCAAATTTCCTACTGGTTTGTCTAGAGTGAATAAAATTTACAATAACAGTGTTTGAAGATACTTATTACTGCTGCTCATATTGAAAATAACCACTAGTTAGGTCCTTTATAAACTATATTTGGTATTTATATATTTTTTGCAACATTTACCCTGAATTTTTCACAATAATCATTAACACCATTGTGAAGAAAAGAGTTACAGCAGGCCTAGAACTGCTATCATCAGAAAATGCCTGCTTGCAAAGCTGACCCCTGGATGGCACCTGGGAACGTGGATTTGGGGAGGGTTCCCACCATTCCCTGATAAGAATGGTTCACAGTGCCTTAAACTGTTTGTGCAAACAGTATGGTTTATGCTGAACATCTGCTTTTTTTTTGTGAGTCTGGAATTTTGTTACCTGTTAGCAGAAGGTACCTACATGACCAATCCTCAATAAAAACCCTGAGAATGAGTCTCTAATGAGCTCCCCTGGTGAGCCATATTTCACACACGTTGTCACAACTCTGGGGGAATTAAGCAAATCCTACATGACTCCACTGGGAGAGGATTCTTGGAAGTCTGCACTGGTTTCCTCCAAAATTCACTCTGCGTACCTTTTCCTTTTGCTGATTTTGCTTTGTATCTTTTTGCTGTAATAAGTCTTAGCTGTGAGTATGACTATACGCTAAGTTTTGCAAGTCCTCTTAGCAAATCACCAAACCTGGAAGTGGTCTTGGAAGGGACCCCTGACACAGCTATCAAAATATATTCAAGCATATAAAAAAAAGTCTTTCTAAAAAATGCTCATCACTTTTTTTTTTTTATTGATGTTTCAATAGTTTTTAACATTGTGAAATTTTGGGTTGTACATTTTTGTTTGTCCATAACCATATATATGTCTCCCTTCACCCCTTGTGCCCACCCCCGACCCCCATTGCCCCTGGTAACCACAATACAGTTTCTCTCTCCATGTGTTGGTTTATATTCCACATATGAGTGAGATCATACAGTGTTTGTCTTTCTCTTTCTGGCTTATTTCACTTAACATAATAGCCTCCAGGCCCATCCATGTTGTTGTAAACGAGACGATTTTGTCTTTTTTTATGGCTGAGTAGTAGTCTATTGTATATATATACACCACATTTTCTTGATCCAATCATCAGGCGAGGGACACTTAGGTTGCTTCCACTTCTCGGCTATAGTGAATAATGCTGTAATGAACATAGGGATACATAAGCCTCTTTGGATTATTGATTTCAGGTTCGTTGGATAGATTCCCAGTAGTGGGATGGCTGGATCATAGGGCATCTCTATTTTAATTCTTTGAGGAACCTCCATATCGTTTTCCATCGAGGCTGCACCAGTCTGCATTCCCACCAGCTGTGTACGAGGGTTCCTGTTTCTCCACATCCTCTCCAACATTTGTTGGTTTTTGTCTTGGTGATTACAGCCATTCTAACAGGTGTGAGGTGGTATCTTAGTGTTGTTTTGATTTGCATTTCCCTGATGATTAGTGATGTTGA